TAATGCGTGCATTTCGTGGCAGCAGTCGCAGCACACTGATTTTGTCTTGCCTTATTTTCACTGCCTGAGCCTCAGAAGACCGAGCCGACCAAATACGAAGTTGTCCGGTCTGTTCAGCGCATTTTTTCGGTGTTGAAAAAGTTTGTTCTACATGTCTAGTTTATGTGTTCTCTGGTCAGTGATTTAACTGTGTGATTTTTGTCAACTGCTAACTTTTAAAAATATATTGAGAATTAATAAAATTTTTTACTATAATTTACCGCATTCGGTATATTGTAATTTTCATCATTAATTGTGTTTTTAGCAAATAGCACAATTATGTTAATTCAATAATGGCTATGCTGCGTATAAACGCACAAATACAATTAGTGCCATTTTGAGCACTTAACAGTGACCGTATTGAGTACAGCAGTGCCATTTTGAGTTTAACATTACCCTTTTTACATCAGCGTGGCAACGCAATTTTTTAGGTGAAAAAATTATTAAAGTCGTTGTTAAAAAAACAGAGTGCAAAAAACAGCAGCAACTACACACAATTAATAAAGCAAAAGCAAGAGAAAAGCAAAGCAAGCGTGTGCTGCCGCCTCCATTTCTTAGCCAACAAGCCCGAAAGTGTCACCGCCAAGACGTACGTGCGAAAAATGTTTTGGGACAAGTGTTATGCGCCCTCTGCTAATATAGAGGCGCTGCTCGAGAAGGAGGTGCGTAAAAGTGTGTGTTGATGTGTGAATGTGCATATGCATGTGAGTGCATGTGCGTGTGTTTATATGTGTGCAAATAACATTGTTCAATATACTATATGTGTGTACAATTTCGTCTCCATATAGAATTCCACAGTGGAGGAATTCCTGGACGAGGAGGATATATTGCAGGAATGTAAAACGCAAAAAAAGAATTTGGTCAACTATTTTACACGACCAGAAGTGATTCGTCGTCTGGTCGAGCTCATCACAACGGAACCATCAGAAGATTTGCCGATGTCGCAGCGTTTCCACTACGCAAACATGTCATGTGAGATACTCACACTGTAAGCAACGCCCCCAACCCCTACTATATACATACATACATAACATATATTTATATTGTTGACGTTTGTTTCTTAGTGGTCTACCTTCGCTGGATGAGAAATTGCTCTCGGATGCGGATACATTGCAATTGCTGTATTCATATTTGGAAAAAGAACCACCGTTAAATTCATTGCTATCGTCGTTTTTTAGTAAAACATTTAGCATGCTCTTTACGAAAAAGCCAGAACAAGATTGGTTTTTGTATCAACATATGTGCCTACAATTTTTGGAGTATATTAAAGCGCAGAAGAACTTTTTGGATTACATTTGTAAACACTTTGACACACCTGTTATACCCGATCTAATCATGCAAATGATGAAGGACATCGATGGTGGTCAACTGAAGCGCAACCTATTCGAAGTAAAATGATTGAATATAATACCTCAATTAACCAATTGCTTACGATTATTAATATTCATATTTTCTTTTCGATTCTGCAGTGGTTAACTGAAGACAAACTTGTTGAGAGACTGATTGCAATATTGCGTAATCCTCTGGAGACCGATAAGCATGCAAATGTTGCGGACTTTTTTTGTGATCTTATTAACCAGGGCCGTCTAATGCGTCAAACGGAGCAGGAGAATGATTCATTTGAGCCGGCCTTTGATGGGTCAAATCCCATATTGCGCACGATTGAATCTGCACAGACAATTGAAGCCTTGTTAAATGTGATTTTGGAACCAAACGCTCTAGAGAGCGCCATCTTATCAGGAATATCGGTTGTACTTACGCTTATCAAGCCCCTTACATTCACGTGAGTCATCGCGAATACAACATCAAATTTATATATAATCACTTATCTGTTTATTTTTCGATTTGTCAGTTATGAGCCGACTTCGGATCGCCAGCGTTTGCTGCAGAAACGCGAGAGAGAATTCCATCAGGAAATTCAAGAGACTGTGATTGTGGTGATGGCGCCTCGTTTACATGAATTTGTGCATTTGCTGAAGAATCCGCCAGCGGTTCGTGTTCAACGGTTTAACGAAAATTCGAGTATAATGTATCCAATCCCTCTTTCAGAAACCGCAACTGGAGACCACAGCAGCGATTCTTACTCCTCCATTTGGCAAAACGCGCCTACAGGTCTGTCGTGTATTCACCGCTCTGCTAGAGACCAAACACGAGACCATTCAACAGGCGTAAGTTGCAGCTAGCTCAACCAACAAGTGTCACTAATCTGAATTCTTATCCCTCTCACAGCATCTGTGCCACCGAATACTTTTCTCTGCTGCTGGACTTTTTCAAGGAATACTGCTGGAATAATTTTCTTCACAGTGAACTGGAGAAGGCATTGCATTTGGTCTTTTATAATGAGCTCTCGAACAATAATACAAATTCTACGGACTGCACCGAAATATTCCAGGATGATTATATATTCAATTGCTTAATGAAGATTACGAATGATGCCATGGGAACGACCACGGCCGAGGTGGAAATGAAGAATGCTTTGAACGATGTAAAGCGCGCCGAGGGCGGTAAAGAGAATCCAACAGGAGAAATTGAATTTGAGGCAGCAGCAGCTCAGCAAGAAGCTGAAGCTGAAGCAGAGGCAGCCGCCATCGCAAAGGCTGCCAATGAAGTTAAAGAGGCCAATGAAGTGGAGGGCACGCAGGCGAATCACATTGAAAACAATGCAACTGATGAACCTGCCTCTACATCTGCTCCTGATGATAACCAAGCAGAGCCAAATACGACGACTGATGCCACTCAGGCAACGCTCAACGATTTGGACAATACCAAAGCGCCAATAAACAACCCGCCCACAGAGATGCAAACATATGTGAGTAGAACAAACACAGTGGAACTTACATTCTTAATAACTTATTAACTTTTTCACAGCTGATTGTCAATTGCCAACTGGTGACCAAATTGGTTAATTATTGGCGGCACAATGCAGAGACGCAGTAAGTGAAATGCCAGCTGAATAATTATTAATTTATTATTAATCACATATATGTACTTTTCTCATCCATACAGATCAGCGGAAAAGGGTCGTCGGCTGGGCTATATGGGCCATCTGATCAAGATACTCAGACATATTACGAATTGTATATCGGAATCTGAACATATCGCTAGCCTGATTGCATCTAGTTTTGATAACGAGGCGGACCTGCAGCTCTGGCAATCGCTAATCGCCCAGGAAGGAGAATTTACGCTGGCCGTTGCGCAGCAAAATAAGCTGTTGGCCAATTGCAATCCGCACGAGGATAATGAGTATAATGCGGATAACTCGCAAGATTTCTTGAGTGAAGCTAATACTTGGGACATTTGCACCACATCGTACAGCAAGATACATGGACATGAAATGGATAACACGCCGTTTGGCCTCAACATCGACGACGACGATGATGATTATAGTTTCGATGGCGAAAAGTTTGCCTATTTCCAGGAACATTTCGACATTGCTTTCAGCGCTCTGTGCTTGGCTAATACCCAGGCGCCTTTGAATGCTGCAGCGCAGTCTACGAGCAATAGCTCGGAGCAGCAACGAACGCTGAACGAGGACGATGTATCTATGACTGCAACCGATAATCTGGAATCGATCGTCAACAATGATGACCAGCAAGCGGAGTACGACAACAACGCCAATGTAGAGAAAGCAGCTAGCGATAAGCTGCAGGAACTAAACGATGTTGATGCATCCGCCACCACGGCAGCCACATCGATTGTAAGTCGATTGCAATCGGTGCTGCTCGCCGGCGAAGATGATTATGAGGATGATGAGGGCATGTGGACGAAGCCTCTAGGCGGCAGCAATCAGTCTGATACAATAGCCACCGATCCACAGACAACACTCATCACGAACGGACCCAGCAAAATTGCCGAATTGTAAGCGAGTAAAAGAAATTGTGGTTCAGTAGAAGTTGTGGAAGTGTGTGATAAAGTGAACACCTAATCTATGTTCCAGGCAGGCTTAGACTGCAATCATAAATACTTTTGAGACAGGAACGTTAGCCAATAGTAAACTGAGCTAATTCTTTATAATGTAGAAGTTGGCATTCAGGCATTTACATTTATATGCATAAGCGTCAATCTATAGGATATGTGATATGATCTGATATGATATTTAATACTTATGGATTACAGCTAGACCACGAACGGCTGTGGTTACGCTACCTAAGCAACTACTGCTGCATTTACTAATGTTTTTGTTGTGTTTATTGCAGCAACCATGCCAACGACAACAACAGCAGCAACAGCAGCAGCGGCAGCAACAACAGCAACAACAGCGAAGCACGCGACGACAGCAACATCACAATTGAAGCAGAACCGGAGCAGCAGCCAAAGAAGTCGGAGAGCATAGCTACGGCTGCCACAAAAAATGCGGAAATTGCAACAACGACAACATAAATGTGCCGACACACTCACGCTCACACACACACCTACACTCAACATACCCAACACGCAACACGCCCGCATGGCCCACACTATATACGCACACACACACATACACACACACGCATACATACAGCCTGAGAGACGACGTCAGCAACTGCAATTTGTATAGCATATACATATATATACATAAAAGAATGTGTCGAAAAGTTGTAAACATAAAATGTAAAGCCTTTGATTTGCTCTTTAATCATTTCTTATACATAAGCATGCATACATATTTAAGTGTATATATGTGAAAACCATTTGTGTATAATTGAAGCCCGCCCAAAAAGTTGGTAAGATTCGAAATTATGTTGTTGATTCATTGTAATCCTCTCTTGCTCTCATCTTATTGCCAATTTCCTATTTATTATAAGCTATCATTTGTTTTCACATTCAAATACTCTATAAAAACAAATGAGCATTACTTAAGAGCTACCCAACAATAAATTTTGTTTATTTTTTTTTTAGCTTGCAACATGTACTATATACATATATGTTTATTATTTGTATTAATTAGAGACTTGTGTTAATTTTTGTTTGTACTTTGAAACAAAGCAAAACCAAATAATCAAACCTTTGCTTCACACACTCACACAGTTGCTGAAAGCACAAAACAAATGCAGGTATATATATATATATATGTGGGAATATGACATATATTTTTTGCCCTTTCTCAGACTAATTCTTGTACCAAAAAATGAAAACGAAAATGTATTCAATGTCGAAAGTACAAAAGAGAGAGAACTACTAAGCAACAACAGCATTTGTCACGCCCCACACAAAACAGACATACACAAACACATGAATAAGACATATGTGTAATCCTTGTAAAACCTTTTTATACTTTTTTAAAAACAATGTACGTCTGAGCAGACATATATATAGATATTGCAGCAGTATATATATAACTAATTTGTGCAGCTTTGTTGTTGTTGTTGAGAAATGTTTGTGAAAACAAAAAAAAATATATATACAAAAAGAACAAAACCTAAATGAAAAATGAACAGATATGCCATCATTTGCTTCCAAATAATTATATTATAATTATGTTTAAAAAAATAAAATGAGTTAAAAAGAAAAACCAATTCAAAAAAACAAAAAAAATCTACTTTAAAAGTAAAATTTGATGTTTATTTCGCACACACAATGAATAATTACAAAATGACATCACATGCCTAATTAAAATTAATTGTTATAAAAAGTTGATAGACATAATAAACACTCGAAAGGTCGATAGTTGAGGAGGCAACATATCAGCTCAACATTAAACCCAATCTCTAACTGCAATGAGATTTGATTACAAAAAAGAAAATACATTAAACATACAATTTAATAATTAAAAACAATAGTCATAAGGAAGCACTAATCTAACCAAACAGCAAAAAAAAAAAAAAAAAAAACAGTTTTGAGATCTGCTAACTAACAAACACTTATACTCGTACATATTAAAGTTATATATTAGATAAAAGGAAAAACCAAAATGTAAGAGTGAAAAAAGGAAAAGAAAAACCAATTGTACTTTATAATAAACATTTTTTGTCTGTGTGTGTTCAGCAGTTCAGTATTTCAATTAAGCCAAGTTAAATCAAATCCAAAACGTACTAAAACCAAGGTTTCCCATTGAAAACCAAAACAAAATTATAAAAAAAAAAAAAAAAAAAGTGAATTATTAAAAACTTAAGCGTAGCGAAATTAAAGAGAATGCTTCAAATAAAATTCGGAAACACTTCAAAGATAAAGAACCAGCGGGAACAACAACGATCGAGCACGAGCAACTGTAATACAACCAAAACTTCATATATATACTACTACATACATATATATAAATAATATACATACAAAGACCCTCTATTAACTGCATACGTACATTTATTCAAGTAACTGTAATAAATGTTGTTAGTATTAACTTGAACAATTGCATAATATTAATAATAATAACATTTTGTTAAACGAAAAKGAAATCGTAGTTAACCGAACCCAAGTGTGCTTCATGTAAGAATTTGTGTTACGATTTTTACAATGCAATAAAAAATTCCAATAAAATACCCCACACTTTAAGCTAGTATATATATATTCATGTATGTATTCCTAAAAGTCTTAAGTATTTACGATCGGTGTCTAATGTGTATATGTAAACCTTATGTAACGAGTAGAGACTTTAAAGCCAACAAAAACGTATCGTCAAATATCCAAAATAGGTAAAAACGAGAAAGATTAGCTAAACCTTGCATACATCTATATATACATAATACGAATAACGGTTTAATTATATACTAAGTGCTTCAAGTGATAAATACACACCCACACCCACACACACACACACACACACAAACATACACCTACACAGCGTATTGTCAACCTTAAGAATTTTCTGTTATAACTGAATCGAAACTACTTGAAACAAACCCCCCAAGGGACACTCTGGAATAGAAATTCCTTGAGGTAGTGCCTTAAACTGTATAAGAACAAGAACACAATGTTTTGTTTAAACAAAAGAAGACGAGAAATGTACTAGTTCCAGTATCGTAAACAAATATATAGTTAACTCTATGCTCCGATCTATATACTACATAAACACACACACACACATATATGTGTATATATACATACTATATTGTATTTAATAATATACTCTTAACTTACCGTCGCATTTTCTACCTTATACTACAATATATATGTATAAATCTTGTATTTTTGACTATTTTGGAACATGTTTTGCTCAAACGACAGTTTTCTAACAGCACACACATACACACACCAACACCAACACACACACACATATATATATATATACATAGTTAGGTATCGATCTGCTTTGACATAGTTAAAATACATTTTGTGATTGCTTTGCTGTATGATGTCTGAACGCCCAAATGGGATATCCTGAATGTATTCATCTATATTTATGTATACAGTCACACATACACACACACACATACACTAACTGTTATGTATGTGCTCGTGTGTGTAGATGTGAGCGAACATTATCGAATAATTAATACGATTTGTGCATTATTTCGATAGAAATACACTTTGATTACGTATTGAAATGAATAAAGCGATTAAACAATTTGATTCATTTGATTTTATAACTTGATTTGACTTGAGACCCTGTGAGGAAGTGGAAAGAATGAAGGATGAGCGCAGATTAAAAGTAATATATATATTCTAAACATCAGCATCATATCCTTATAAATGATAAATATAAATGATCCTCTCTCTGTCTCCAACCCTCTCTCTCCCAATCCCTCTCTCGAAGTGAAAGATCTTTAAGCAATCTATATCATAACAAATTATTTATTTCGACTCTGCAAGTCTCTACGGGATTCCAAACCCAATCACAGCCAGACTCCTCCAAATATAATCTATCCAAAGTCCTCTAAATATATACAGCTTTATATAAATCATACAATATATAATCGCTGCCACGCCCACACTCAGCTATGATGCGGCACGGCGCTCTCTGTCGCCGACGCTGTTGCAGTTGTCGTAGTGCTGGTTGCGGAATGTCGCGTCTCCATGTGCCGCTGCAGATCTCTGGCCCGGGCAAGCGTCTTGTGGCAGATCTGGCATTGGTAGCCCGTCTCCTGCTGGCCATCGGCTTCGCCACTGCTGCCACTCGGCTGCGTTTGTAGGTGGAGGCGCACGTGCTTGTTGAGATTGCTCGGATCGCCGAAGGGACGCAGGCAGAACTTGCACTTGAGTGGCTTGAAGCCAGTGTGGGTGCGTATGTGAATCTTCAAGCCGTACTTGCGCGAGTAGACCTTGCCGCAGTAGATGCACAGATGGCCCTGCTTCGAGGCGCCCATATTGCTGACGATCGCCTCGATCTGTGCGGCTGCGTTCATCGGATGCGGTGCAGCCATCGCTGAAATGGAGGGCAGATAGGACATCGTTGCTGCCGGCGGCTGAGAGCTGTGTGGCAAGGGCAGGCCAAGCGATTGCATGCCAGCCAGCGGGCGAAAGGCGGAGAAGCGTGCGGATGTAGCTGCAGGAGGCGGTGGTGGCGAGCGATTCGGCGAGGCCGAGGATGTCGAGGAGGTGGCCGGTGTGGGTGACAGAGTAATCGTTGTTGTTGAGCTGGGTGCCGTCGCCTTCAGTGCGTAGTGCAAGCGCATCCACAAGAGATCCATAACGCTGCGGCCACAGCCCAGGGCCAGATGGATCTTCAACGGATGTGGCGTCTCGAAGGTCAAATGGCACAGATGACAGGTGTACCGATTGTTGCCTAAGGGAAAAGCGAAGTTGATGGGAATCCTATTAGATTTGGGCATCATATGGTAGAGTGAGTATTGAATAGTATCTTAAAATGTGTTTGGACTCCAATTGGATAAACAATGCATGGCAAATTGAAATATTTTAAGGTTGTACTATAGAACCATAGGCAATCACGCTATTAAATGCAATTCCAATTGGATTCGCGTATACTTAAAAGTCTTCATTCTAATTGGACTTTTGTAGAGAAAAGAAACTTCAGTGATCATTCACAATTTTCTGATTTCTTACCCTGTATATTGAGAGGTGTGAGAAAGGGTATGCCCATGAGCAACACCAGCTCCTCGCCGAACCAGGCCACAATCTCGTCCTCGCGGCCCACGTCCCGCACCAGTCGAATGCGCAGCTGTCCGGCGTGCAGCTCGAACAGTGCATTGAAGCTGTAAATGTCCTCGGAGAGTTTGATCTGTCGCAGCATCGAGGCGGATAGCGCCAATTCGCCGTTGGCCAGACTGCAATGCACGTGGGCGTCGCTGGCAGTGGGCGTGCCCATGGAGCTGAGCAGCGCTGCAGTGGGTATGCCGCCGGAGCACGTGTCCTTGGGCGTATACTGAGCTGTATAGACACCTGGACGCAAGCTGCTCCTGGCTCTCTTAGCGGGCGCCTGCTGGGTCGAGATGGTGGGCGTGGCCCCTGTCGTTGTTGTCGCCGTGGTGCTGCCGGGCAGCAGCTGCTCGATGCGAAAGATCATGCTGGCGGCGCGCTTGGAGCCCTGTCCACTTGATTCATCCAGTTCCAGGCTGTCGAGTTGAGCCGTCGTGTGCATCGCTCGCGTTCGTAAACGATTCTGTTTTCCAATTGGAAGCCGGCCGCTGCTTTTATAGCGACGCAGCTTCCCTGCTCGCTAAATGTCCTGTGTTTGGATTTGTTACGGCTTGCAGTGTCAAAACAACTCCGGCGTCAAGTGCAAGAATTCCCAGCGCAGACATAGCTACGCACTTTGCGGCCCTCTCGCTCGCACGCACCAGCTCAGACCAGGACGCGGGCATCCCTTTGCGCCAGGTCCTGGTCCGCACGGTGGTAGCTGGCTGTGCGCGGCAAGTGCAACATCATGTACATCGGCACTAAAGCACTAAGCATCAAGCTAAGCGGCCCTGTAGCAAGTGTGCGTATTCCTTTGCCTAATCCTCTCATACCCAAAACCCCTCTCTGCCCAAGCCCCTTGTCCTTTTCTCTTTTTTTTTTGGCTTTTGGGCTGGCTATGCCCAGGCAAATGTTTTTAATTGAAATTAAACGATCGTTTGTTGTCCTTGTTCGTATTGTTGTTGTTGCTGTTGTTGTTGTTCTTTCTGCTGTTGTTGCTGTTGTTGCTGTAATGCCACCATATACAAATCGCATTCGCTTTCGTCAATGCCATCCCCCTCGTCCTTGCCGGCCCGGTCACCCTCATTGATAATGCCTTAATATATTGGTGTGTATCGTTTTACTATTTGTGGTTTAGGGTGGGTCGTGATTTTTGTTAAGCGAGCGAACTGACGGGACTCAAAGGGGCCCAAATATGTAGGAAAGTGAAAAGCTAGAGAGATGTAGGAAAATGAGGAAGATGTTCTTATATCTATAGCTAACCATATAAAGTTGTGTAGGTTCCTAGAGATTTCATTGTGAAGTTAGGAGTAAAAATATAGTACTAGCTTGCCATAGATCTATTCATCTTCATATAAATCTTGTCTAGTATTACCCAAGCGGATGAATTCTCTTAGCACTTATCTATATATAAAATTGAATAAAAATAGATCTCGACTTGTCATCGGGCCCAACCGCAGCCGCAGCAAGTCCGCTCCTGTGCCGCGTAAAATATGCTTCGACACTAATGTTTTCATCATTGGAAAGGCAACAACCCCGCCGCTAATATATACTCTGAGGCGATGCGATCAACAGGACAAGGCGAAAAACATGTGTTGCCAGTCACACAGTCACAGACGCCTGGGGTGGGGGTAGGCATAGGGCGAGCGACAAATCTGGGGGAGGGGTTGTGGTTGCGCAGCCCTTAAGTAATGTAAAGTGTGCCAGCCAATTTGCAGGCAGAGTCACAACCAAAGGCAGAGGCAGAGACAGAGGCAGAGGCAGAGGCAGGCACACCTGGCTCGAGCCAATTTCGAGTTGGTGTTTGCTTGTTTTAAATAAGTGGGCCAAGACCAGTTGTTGTTGCTGTTGCTATTCGGTTGTGGCTCGAGTCCGTGTTTATTGTTCAGTTTTCTCAATTTAATTACTTTCGATAGACATAGCCCCCGGGGGCTGCGTCGCCGCCGTCGTCGTCGCAATCGTGACAGCCTCCACTGGCGGCCAGCTTATCGAGTGCCTCCTGTATCTCGATGGGTATGGGCGGCGGTGTGGGCAGATGATCGCCCTGCGGCTGAAAGCCATTCTCGTCGGCTATGTAGGTCAGCGAGATGCTCTCCCCCTCCGGACTGCTGTAGGAGAAGGAGCCCTCGGCCACCTGTGCCTCAGCACCTTCGACGCCAGGATTCTTCAGGTAGCCCATCTCCTCGGCCTTGATGCCATTGCCCGTTTCATATTCGTACTACGGAAGCAGAGAGAAGCGAGTTTCAGCAGCTTTCATTTAGAGGTTAACCAGCTTGTCTCACCATATAGGAGCCATCGGTATTCACTTTCGATTCCAGCTTGATAATGGGTATAATTTCACCTCCTCCGCCGCCACCGGCACCATCGCCATTGCCTCCATTCGAAGGTGGCAAATAATTCTGATTAGGATTACTGGGCGGCGGACCGTAGCTGTCGCGTGGTGGTGCTGGTGGGGGCTTCTTCGGTGGTGCTCCGTATGTTGGCTTCGGGGCTGGCACAGGTGGCGGCGGTGGCTTTGGTGCTCCATATGTTGGCTTCGGTGCTGGCGCAGGTGGCGGCGGCTTTGGTGCTCCATAGCTGCTGCTCGGTGGCTTCGGCTTGGGCTTCGGTGCTGGCGGCTTGGCCGGCACATAAGTTGCAGGTGGACGCGCACTCGGATAGCCCGCCGGCTTAGCCGCTGCCACATGCAGGCCGATGAGCAGAACTATCCACAAAGTTGTTCGTTCCATTTGGCTAATGCACTTCTGATGCCCATCGATGCCGACTGACGGCTGCTTTTATATCTATGGCCAGCACTTGCTGTTGACCACAACCTGTTGCACCTGGGGGTCAGGCACGTGCGTGGCCATGTGGCCAAATGTGTTGCATCGGAAAATGAAATAATGCAAAACCGAAAACTGGGCCAATGCGAATGCACTGCGCGAAAATGAGGGCAAAGATCTTGATACCAGCTGTGATGAAAGGAGGCAAATCATATATAAACTTAAATTATATATTTTTACTGATAAGCTGAAATGCTGTGGCCCTCGCATAGAATTGTACTGGGGGATACATAATTTTATATTATTATTTATTTATTTTTTAAATTTTTTTTTAAATTGTAGTTTCTATTCAGTTCTCAGTTCTCAGTTTTCTTCTCTAATAACTGATCTCTAGCACAGCCATTGGAAATTCAGCATTCATCATTTTATCAAATACCCCCCTCTCTGCAATTCTCAAGTATTGCATGAGCTTTTTGCTGCTCAACAAACACAGTTGATGAAATTGAATTTTCAGTTCCTTATCATTAATTACACTGAAACAGTTAGCAATTAAATCAAATCTAGATAAATCGACAAACTAAAAATCTTACATTTCCGCAACTAATCGCCAAAAACAACAAAACCCGCTAGACCTCAACAGAGCAGAGCTATGAAGGGAGCTGGAAGCGGACGCTGTAGGATAAGGATCAGGCACGGCACAGGCAACACCTGCAGCGGCAGCGGCAGCGGCAGCGGCAACCACCCCCAGTATGTTTGGCAACTACTCTAATGCACTTTGCCTGTCCCAAACGAGGGCGGGGCGAAGGTGAAGCAGGGTGCTAAGCCCCTGGAGTTGTCGGCTTTAGTCAATCGTCTATTAACTTTTTGCCCAGGCTCAGCTCAGACCAACGAGTGCAGACTGTGATGCCGCTAATATTGCCTGGGCAGTGGTGGTGGTGGGCTGGCTTGGCTGGCTTGGCAACCCTGAACTGGATTCTGGATTCTGGTTCAGGTTCTGGTTCTGGTCCTGCTGCTGGCACATTGGCACTGGCCTAGCTAATGGCAATGTTGTTGCCAGCTTGTTCTACTTGTAATGTGCTGGCGCGCAGCTGACGGCTTCCCAGGCGCTGTGGATTTTTGAACCTGTTCRGCGATTGTCAGCGTCAGCGTCAGCTGTTGCCCAGTTGGGCAGTTGGCTAGCAACCACCGAAAGCCACCGAAAACCACCAACAATCCACCAACTAACCACCACTCCAGCTAGCACCAAGCGCTGCACCGGCTGCCAAAACCAACAATTGTCGGTCTATCGGAGTCATTCGCTCGACATTTCGCCACGCACCCATTGCGCATATTTCGCGCCCGCATTTGCCAAAAAGCGAAACCTCGACTCTCAACTTCATGAAAGGCATTTTGACAGAGCGCAACGATCTGATTGCGATTTCTGGCGCTTCGGCCGCTTCAGCCACGGCGCCGATTAAGTTCTTCTGCACGCCTAAATAAACATTTTGATGCGGACCCTTTGATAAATTATTCGCAGCCCACATTGACAGCCCAAATGTGCATATCAGTATATGTATATCCGATTCGCGGGAGTTCTAGCAACTGTTGATTAGACTAGTTAAGGGTGGAGTACTCAAATCGATTCATGGATATATCATTTATCGTTTATTAAAAGTATTTGATTGTATTATATAACAATTTTAATTTATAAATAAAAAAGATTGAGAAATTTATTTAAAAATAAATTATTTGAGTTTTAGCAACTGTTGATTAGACTAGTTAAGGGTGGAGTACTCAAATCGATTCCTGGAAATATCATTTATCGTTTATTAAAAGTATTTGAATTAGTAATAAATAATAAATAATATAACAATTTTAATTTATTAAAATTGAGACAAATATTAAAAAATATATTATTAGTTATTATTTAAAGAAGGCGCTTTAAAATAAANAATAATATTAATAAGTTTTAAAAATATTATAAAAAATACTACAAAATTTATATAAATTGTATATAAATTAAAAACAACAATTTTAAACTGTAAACAAATATATACAAATATATAAATTTATTGATAAATACCAACTTATTCAAAACACAAAAAAAGAACCAGAAAAAAATGTTTTAAAAGCAAATACACAACAATCGCTTTAGTTATATAATCGATTCATTGGTGTGCCAAGAACTGTGCATAGATTCTAGGGGACAAATCAAGAACAAATTCAATTTATTTCTGCCTTAGGCAATCTAAAATATTATAACATCAATTAAGCACTTGTCTCAAATTACAGCTCAAGCAATGTTCAAATATTTATGTTGATTAAAGTTGATGATACAAAAGAAAAAAACTACACGAATCCGCTTCCAATGCTTTAGTTAGCTTTCTTCATGTTCTGTTGTTAAAAAAAAAAATCTGTTGTTATTGTTCTTTTTTTATTTTTTTTACATTTTTGTCTTTCTTTTTTGGGGTTTTGACTGAGAACAAAAGTTGAGCCATAAACTATGACGCAATCGGCATCACAAAGGCTGGCCGCTCAGATATATTTGTTTTCATTATCTTTTAGACTTATTTCGGCTGATTTGCTCATCTGAGCCACTGGCAAAACCCATTCGCAGTCTCTGGCATCAGTTAAAGTCCAGAAACGAAGACGATTAGACTGAAATACGAGAATAATTGGTTCGAATTCTTGCGAGGATATTCATAATACAAGTTATAAATTAAATACATATATTAATAGATTAGTGCAATGAAATTCGTAAGCTGAAGATCGAATGGTGCATTTATTTTTATTACTTATATCATAATTCCCTTTTCAGGTACAGTTGAGTGTTGCTTTACTGCTGCTATCTATGGCATGGGCTGAAGAGGCCGAAGAGCGTCAGGAGGAACTGCATTTCGGGTAAACTGCATAACATTCTCACATTATAGATCTATACATATTCAAAGGATCTCTATAGCTTTCAGACAGAGAATGGCTATCATCGGTCGGAGGATATTACCTACAAAGTCAAAGTGAATCCGGATCAGCAGTTAACTGAACAGCCGGAGAGCGAGCCGACTCCCAAATCTGTGGAGTATCGCGGTGGCTACAGCTTTATATCGGCCGATGGCTATGAGTATCAGGTGTTGTATAAAGCGAACAAAAATGGATTTCAGCCCTATGTGACAGCGCACAAGGTGAAATCGGCGAAGGATAAAGCTTAAAGATCTAATATGTGTATATACAAAAGTGTGATCTACAATATTTAAAATAAAATCAGATATCCATTATCATTATACGATAAGCGCTTTTCGAACGAGACTCAATTGACGCGATCATATATGATCGATACGGTATACGTAAACATATAACTCAAGCGGAGAGAAATTTTAGTGATACGATATAGCATCATTCGATGTGTTGTACAATATATGTATGTATAACTAGAATAATAGTGTTTTGCACTCGAGTTACGATCGTCTCGATTACAACGATAAACTATGGTATATATGTAGCTCAAAAATAATGCCCACATAGTAAATATCGAAACATTCGATACTTCCGATAAATATCCTAATAATCGTTTATATAGACGGTCTACTAATGTGCTAATTTCTAGGGTATTAAAAAGCCCTCAAATACAGCCCTTATACAGCTTTCTTTAGATCAACGATTTGAAAGCTCTCGGATGGCTGCTGTAGTATTATGATGATCAAAGCTTTAAGCTCAGCTTGAGAGAGCGCTTGATTAATGCGCGCTGTATGCGTAGAGAATATACATACATATATCATTGCCAATAGGCATGTGAGCAGCATACATGATCTTGTATAAGATTTAGCATAATTAAGAATTCGTATAAAATTCAAGTTTTCAGCGATCAAGGCGCTGTGTGGGTAAATGCGCTAATACATGCCACATAAACTTTATTACTATGTGAATTCCGTCTTCATATATGTTAGAGCATCCAAACTTTTCATTGAGGTCTTTTAGGTTTTTTTTAATGATTTCGAATCAATTTTGTTGTCGGCTCATCATGCTGCGTGGTGCTGTTGGTCTGTTGTTGTTGTTGGTCTTTTATGTTATGTTCGGTTGCGAAGTGAAAGGGTATATTAGTTTTATGCAAGTTCCGGTTCGACTAGTCGTCTACCCGATCGTTCTTCCTTCCGGCTGCGCGTCTATCGCTAGAGAAACTTTAAACACTTATTCATCCAATGGGCGCTACTGCTATATACTTATAAAGTTACTGCAGACTCTCTCTTGAGATTAACCAAAATTTATGTAGCTGATTTTCAACCGTGAACGAGTATGTTGTAGTCGGTACCGCCCGACGGTGATATTCTTTCTTGTCTTTACCTTTTGCTGCTTTCCTTATGCATATTTATGTGAAGCAATAGTGTGACGGCAGCTTAGGCCTTACTCAGCGCTTTATTGAGCATACGATTTGAAAGGTTGGCATCGTGGCCACAAGATGTGCCCCTCCACGGGCTCTGCAATCAATTCACAGCTAGCTGTGACAGAGGACGGTTGCAGCTATCGAACACTATGGGCGCTCAACGTAAGACTGTTAGCAGCTGTCTGCTGTTACTCCTCATAGCCAACATTTTATGGAGTACGGAGAGTGGAGTTGGTGCTTCTTATTCGCCTAACAGTGTGGTGGAGATACAATTGGGCGATCTATTTCTCGATCAATTCAAATACATACCCACCCTAGAGGGCTACGAATATGGGTAAGTCTAACTGCAATATAGCAAGAGAAAGAGAGAGAGAGAGAGGGTTGTTTAAATTATATTCTTTTTCAGTTACACTTTACCCAATGGCACACATCGCGAAGAGCTGGCCGAGCTGCTCAACGCTAATTCCACACCTGAGGAAATAAGGAATGCCAACAATTATGCTCGTAACGCAAGGCCATCACGGCGTCCGGGTGTCAAGAATCGTAAGCTCTCGGCCAAATCTCTCTCATCGCTAGCTGGCTAAGTAACAGGAAGAGCGAGAGCGGCAGTGAGAGCGAAGGTGACAGTGAGAGTGAGAGAGAGAGAGGGAGACGTGAGGCATCTCTCAATATTCTTTGTGAAATTTTAAGCGCGGTTTTGGTAAAATTTTCAATAGCCAATGTTTGTTATGTTTAAATGTTTTTAGCTACAAATGTTTTTAGTGCCTTTACACAACAAAACGCACTTCAATAAAGTATTGATTAAAAATAATATAATAAAATAATGTTTGTTTGGTTTATGGCTCGATTCATAAACTATAGCCCACTCACTTTATGGCTTGGAATGTATGAAAAGTATTTACAGACGATGGTTTATATTGGTATTAATGCTTTGTGGCAAAACCTAAACTTTTCGATAAAATTAACATATTTAATGGGCTTATCAGAAATGTTTTTTACTATAATTTAGTTTATTGGGAACTAAGTGAAAATTGCCAAAAATGGCTGGCTCAGACCTATAAGTCGTATAAACATGAAATTTATGAGGAATTATGAAGAATGCTCTATATAGTGGGGTTCAGGGTATCTCATAGTCGAGCATTGCCGACATGACCTCTCTTTTTATTGTCTATATACTGTTTTGTTTTATTTATAATTTTTTTTTCTTGTTTAAAAATAACGCATACTTCCTCGCGGAGCATCATATTCAAAATTTTTCACTTTTGCTACATACTTTTGTGCGGGGAAAAATGATAAACTTTAGGATGAATAAAGTTAGGCAGAGACATATAGATACTTGTATGATTTCGAAAAAAAAGGACATGACCCATCGAACGTTGATGGAATGGTAGTACAAAATCAAAGAAATTAAATAAATTATTCTGGGAATTAACTTGGAAAGGGCTATATATAAATGTACCCAGACTCCACAATACTCTTAGCCTAAGAACTATGTTTATATATATATACATATATGTATAAATATATCCTAGATTAGAAGTATGTTGAAAAATTCAAATTCGTATGCTCCTGCAACAGATGTTTTACAGGCTGGGTCTCCRTTAAATTGAATGTAATTAACAAATGAAATTTGAAAATTAAAAATAATAATAATAAAAACAAGTAAGAACGTTGCAGTCGGGCGATACCGATTSCARAAGMCTCATTCASMGCCCAAACGCTGTCAACCAGAGTATATAGTGCAATTTTCAAGTCTAGTGCGCAACAAAAAACAGGGCATGATCCCATTTAAAATGGGAAAATCATCGATAGCTATTGCTATGATCATTGCATAATTGCATTCAAATTACATGCATATGTATATAATTTATACAATTTTGACTTTTAATAATATACATGTATTTATATCCATATATTGGATACCGGCTTCAAGCTAGCAGCAGATCAGCGCGATTTTACTATACATGTGCACACACTCATCGTCTATTCTATGCGTACAGACAGAAGCGCGCCTTTTCTCACATTCTTAGAATTTCGATTGATTTCTGGACTTTCTAGCCGTTACTGTAGTTTTGTCTGATGACGCTCTCTTATTAAGCTATTCTATTTTAGCANCCGATTTGCCACGCCCCTAATGGGCGGAGATATATCCGCCATAGCTTGTGATCTTGGGTGATCGGCGCGGACCTACATACCAAATTTCAGCTTTCTAGCTCTTCAACAAACATGATTTCTGGTATATCGGAAAATGCATTTTCCGATTTGCCACGCCCCTAGTGGGCGGATCGGGAAAATTTTAACACTTTATAAATCGGAGATATACACGAGTATGTGTTCCAAATTTCAAGTCTCTAGCTTCAATAGCGCCGAAATAGATTGCGTTCATACGGACAGACGGACAGACGGACAGACGGACAGACGGACAGACGGACAGACGGACGGACAGCAGGACGGACATTGCACAAAACCAATATACTCATTTCACTTTCGTGAATGAGTCTAAAAATAAAATACGAACTCATAAAACGTTTTGACGCAAGAGCGTGACATTTACATATTGAAATTGCAATACGCACACAAAGTTACTCGGATGGTCTAGTGCGAAGCGGTAGACGGAGCGAGGGATGAGAACGGGGAAAATTAAACAAAACTTGGCTTTAAGACATTGCCATTAACGCTAAAGTGCTAATTTAGCTAGCRTCTACGAGACGATGTAGCCAAAGCTATACCAAACTAAGAAGTAAAGTTAAAATAAATAAAAAAGACAAATAAAAAAAAAAAGAAGAAGAAGAAGAAGCAGATGTCGTCGAACATTTGAAGAACCGGTAACCGAAACACAATCCGTCCATCTGTCCGTCTGCGTTTCTCATATCTAAAGTCTGGCCAAGATCTGGCTGGTCAGATGACCTTGAAGATGCGAGCAACCTGATCTGAGCACATTTTAGCAGCTGTATATGTATTTGCTGATATATATACATATATATATATATATTTATATGCACATATATACATCTGAAAAGGGACAGTGATATTAAAAACAGAAAGAGAAATCGAGAATATATACCGATAGAAACTACTTGCGTAGAACCTGAAGATGGGCGAATTTTACTATACAATACCAAAGATAAAATGGCCTTTTGCTAATGCGATATCAGTAACGCCTTCGATTTACATAAGCATAAAAAAGTTTTTGAATACCAATTATATATATCTTATATATGTGCATTTTAATTTATAAAGTTTTTTCGGCTTTTGGCATTAAACTAGTTTTTCGTCTTCGTTGTCCACATCGGCTTACTTACTATAAATACTCCACTGCCTGGCCCTATAACTCACGGTTACCTTTGAAGTCTCAAACGCGCAACACATTACCTTAAACATGAAGTTCCTCATCGTCTTCGTTGCTCTCTTCGCCCTGGCAGTGGCAGCTCCTGCTCAATCTGATGATGTCCAAGTTCTGCGCCAGGACTCAAATGTCGGCATTGATAACTTCCAGACCAGGTAAATGAAGCACATGAAGCGATTCTTTGAGCTTTTACTTATCCTTGGATACTTACTTTCCATCATACAGTTTGGAGCTGAATAATGGTATCAAGCAACAAGCCGAAGGACAACTGAAGCAAATTAGCAACGAGGAATCCGCCATTGTCGTTAGGGGCTCGTACAGCTGGGTTGACCCTTCGGGCCAGCAACACTCAATTACCTACATTGCCGATGAGAACGGCTACCAGCCACAGGGTGCTGACATTCCCGTCGCACCAGTTGCCTAAGCGAAGTTGAACTCCTTAAATAAATTGATTGTTTTATAAATTCTCTTGATGTTTTTATTCGACAAAGGGTAATTTGTTGTTTATAGAACTGACATCTGACATCCTGCTTATCATACGTGAAGTTATCTCTTCATATGTGTCAAGTACAAATGGTACATTATTTTTTGTTTATCATTAGTTTGAAATATTATGAGCAACAGAAGCAGAAGCTGAAGAATGGATAGTTATTAATATATATCCTTGTTTATTTAAAAACTAAACTTTGATTTTTTGGGATCATAAATTGAATATATGTACATATTGTTATATAATATGTAGGTTAACATTATATACATTTATATGTATATTCATCTTATGGTCAATGTCAGCTGGAGAATGTCCTGTGTATAGATCAACATTTAAGAGGTTGTACTGAGTTTTGGGTATTGAGTATAAAAGGTCGGCATAGTCAGAAACTCGATTGACTGGCTTGCCAATTTGTAGCTTCTTCTTCTTCGGCTTGTGCTGCTGCACCAGCCGTCGCCGCTATAGCGGTCAACTAAGGTGGAATGCATACGCACACATACAAAAACCGATGGATATACATACGTATGTACATATTTATATGTGAGAGAGCTGCATGTGCAATACATCAATCGAAGCTGGCTGCAAAGGCCGTTGCATATGTCAAGAGTCAAGTCGCTTTAGCTTTTACCGATTTGCGAGTAGATTCAACATCTGTATATATATATACATATATTTAGAGTTTTGACTTGATATGAACTTGCGGCCCTCCTAACTGTTAAACTGTTGCCATCTCATTGACAACGATCAGAATCGCATCTGAAATTATTATGCATTCAAATAAATTTAACATCGTGTTACTTGGGCAATAAACCATCAGTTGGTATGGTCTTTACAAATACTATAAAAAACAAGCCATTTACGCATTCATTTAACTAACATTCAGATACATGACAAAATATTCAATCAGCTTTTTTAATACACTTCGAATAGCAGGAAAATATTTTCATAGTCATAGAATATATAGCAAGGAAGGAAGAACGAAATATATGTATGACATATTTAATGAGAAATGAAATGAAATCTTAAATAATTACTATCCAGACTCAAATGAAACTTAAATAAAATATTTTAGTTCGGAATCCTTGACTGGAATAACTGAAAAACTTGGCTCAAATTGCTCGGCGAAATGCTATGCATTAACATTCGAGTCATTCATTCAACTATCTCACAAGTCAAATGCTTGACTGGCAATTCAGTGCTAAAACCTATGGTACTTAGTCTTCAATCAAAATATTTGCTTCGATTGCTTCTGCCAAGTGCATCGGGCAGTTGGTGCAGCCAGAATGCGGATTTGGTAATGTCGCGTCAGAGATTCGCTTTAAATGTTACTTGTCGCAGCGACTTCTGGCTGAGGCTGAGACTGAGGCTGAGGCTGGCGGCTGGGGGCTATTGGTGAACTGTTGGCAAATTAAATACATTACCGGACGACCGCGAGAGCCCTGTCTATGTATGTCTTCGGCCATACAATTGTGCAAAAATTTATGACGTTGGCAAATTCTGCGAGTGTGCGGGAGCTATATAAATGCAGTGAAGATGCGGCATTAGCATCATTGGACGCTCGATAGTTCAGACGCCAACACAGACAAACGCACGAAATTCTCGACAAGATGGTGAAAATGGTAAATGGATAGCTGCTAATCGATAACAGACAACACGAATAATCGATCAACCTTCCCAATCCTTGAACAGATGCTAGTCGCTGCTCTGCTGCTCTTGGCTGCCGCCAGCTGCAGCGCTCGCCCACAGAACGACGTCGAGGTTGTGGAATACGAATCGGATAACATTGGCATTGGTGGCTACAAGTTCAGCTACAAACTGAGCGATGGCACCACCCGCACCGAGGAGGCCGTCATAAACAATGCGGGCACCGAAAACGAGTCCCTATCGGTGCGTGGCTCCGTCAGCTGGGTGGCTCCCGACGGACAGACCTATACGATCAATTTTGTGGCCGACGAGAACGGATTCCAGCCGGAGGGCGCGCATCTGCCCAAGTAAACTACATGGATAACGCACATGGATAATGAGAGAGAAGGAGAGAGGGAGAGAGAGAGAGAGAGAGAGAGAGAGAGAGGAAGTTCGAGTTCATGTTGTTTGTGCTGTGCAACAGTCAATCATTCATTCTTCAATCAATCATTCAATCAGCCAGTCAGTCAGTCAGTCAGTGAAGTTTGTGTCGTGCATTGTAACTGTTAATCGCATTAAAAATGAATTTCGCTACGATAATTATGTTTATTATTTGGACTGCTTAACACTCGTTCCAGACTAAATAATCGATCTGTTTCAGTTTGCCACATAATTCAACCAAGCACTGGCAACTGCTAACAGTGCCTTCAAAATATATTGATGCTAGCTAGCTTTAGAGCTCTAAAGCTGTCGACAGCAATTTATGATCAGCTATAGAAATATAACATAAATATATTTAGCTTTTTTGTGCCACAAATGGTAAGACTTTGGCACACCCAAGTCAAATCCCAAGACTAGAAATCAAATTGAGAGCACAGATTTTAATGAAGGTGAAAAAATAGTCAATAAACTATATGTCTCTATAATTCGAATTCTCAACTCAATATGGTTGCCAGCAGACTCCGTCGTAGAAGAGGAAAAAGAAGAATAACAAACTGGAAACGAATTCAAAGGTGTTAAACTCTATAATAAATTCATCGTGCATTCTAAAAATATAAATAATTCTCTTTTGATGGTATGCTTTATATTTATTGTTGATTATTATATAAGAACTTTAACTTAGAATTAAACTTTTGGTATGTGCGCTCCCTCGGGCTGGTAGCCATTCTGATCGGCCACAAAGTTAACCTGGTAGGTGACGCCATCGTCGCCCACATAGGAGTAGGTGCCCTTAACGGAGATGGCCTCATCCTCGGTGCCAATGTTGTTTAGGATTGCCTCCTCTGAGCGCTTGGTGCCGTCGCTTGTCTCCAGCTGGAGGGTGTAGCCATCGGGCCTCACGTCAGCCGTTTGGCTGACAATTGTGGCATCATTGGTGGGTGCGGCTGTGGTAAGCGCCACACAAAGGCCGAGGCAGACGATGGCTAATGCGCACTTCATACTTGGACTGCGGATAATAATGTTGTGTGCTCCTGGATAAGCGAGCGCCTTTTTATATCAGCTGGCGACAAGAGCAGCTAATGCAATTAACACTTTATTTTGTTTATATAAACATTGCTCTTTTCTTCTTTTTTCACGGCTATATCTATGTTGAGGCCAAAATGTGTTAATTGTCGCCTCTGGAAGCCAAACTAATTCTGAAAAAAAGACAACAAAAAAATGCAGAAGCAAGCAGCTGAAACGTAAACTAAAGGCTCGAGCAGACTCTGATGAGCTGTCGACAATGAATGGCGCTTCAAATCCATATCTTATTAATTTACAACTTGTTTTACGTATAGGCAACCGGTTATTATGAAAAATATATAAATCGATTATGTCTGGCTTCATTATCATCCTTAGCGTTATAGTTAGTTGATTGTATAGAAATAAGTCACATGCACTAAATTTACGTGCTAAAATGTGTGTGTGTGAGTGTATGTATGTATGTAGTACCAAAAAGTGCTTATTCGGTCGCAGTTCTATGAATTAACATCATTATCGTCATTAATTAACAATATCATTATTGTGTTCATTATAAAGTCGTGTAGCCATTGCTATAAATATTTTATACTATTACCATTGATAAATAATTCAACATTTAGAAGAATTATTTTAAAGCCGTTTTTTTTTTTTTTTTCAAAAGTTTGAATCTTGACTTAATTCCAATGAAAGCTTGAGCAATTTGTAAATTAAATATTAATCACATATGAAGAGATAACTTCACTATAAACAACAAATTACCCTTTGTCGAATAAAAACATCAAGAGAATTTATAAAACAATCAATTTATTTAAGGAGTTCAACTTCGCTTAGGCAACTGGTGCGACGGGAATGTCAGCACCCTGTGGCTGGTAGCCGTTCTCATCGGCAATGTAGGTAATTACGTGCTCCTGGCCCGAAGGGTCAACCCATTTGAACGAGCCCTTAACGACAATAGCGGATTCCTCGCTGCTAATTTGCTTAAGTTGTCCTTCGGCTTGTTGGTTGATACCATTATCCAGCTCCAAACTGTATTATGGAAAGTAAGTATCCAAGGATAAGTGAAAGCTTAAAGAATCCCTTCATGTGCTTCACTTACCTGGTCTGGAAGTTATCAATGCCAACATTTGATTCCTGGCGCAGAACTTGGACATCATCAGATTGAGCAGGAGCTGCCACTGCCAGGGCGAAGAGAGCAACGAAGACGACGAGGAACTTCATGTTTAAGTAGATGTGTTTCGCGTTTGAGACTTCAAAGGTAAACGTGACTTAGAGGGCTGTAAGCCTGAGTATTTATAGCAAGTCAGCTGCTGGCCGCACAAAGGTGAAAAACTAGTTTAATGCCAAAAGCTAACCAAAAATTCACAACTTAAAATGCACATAAATAATAAATGAATACATTTATATAGATTTGTACGTATAGCATAGATATAAATACATACTTATGTATATGTACATATATGTTTTTATAAAATGATATTAATCAATTTTACCAGTTATAAGTGTTATAAGTTATATATATATAAATGATGATATGAATTGATTAACCAATCTAGGCTTGTAAAAGGAGTCTCTGACATTTTTCTTCGTGAGTTCAACTGGGAAGAGTACTTGAGTTGACAGAATGTAGTGAAATTCTTTATTTATGACAGTATACAATATACACAGGTGCATCTACTGAGACATTAATGTCATCGTGCACCTTATCTCTCTCTCTCTCTCTCTTATTTTCATATACCGTATAGAAAATGAACAATATCAATAATTAGTAAAATAAAAAATTAAATAATAAATTAATAGAATACTGACAAACTAGTTTACATGTGACGCAAATGATGTCTGTCTATATGCGTGGTTGGTGAGGAATGTGGTAATGGTGATGGGATCATGAACATAATAATGATAGGGATGATAATGAAGATATGAAAATAGTGATAAAGATGATGATGATGCTGATATTGATGATAACTGATGAGGTGAATAAATATAATCATGTACATTCCATTCGCATAAGCGTCAACTAAAATGGCTAGTGACTTCCTATATTGTATACCCATTGAGAATAGAAACTTATTATATAATAGCTTTAAGAAATAATATGTAAGACGCAGAAAGAGACGTGGCAGATATTATAAAAATAAATATATTTTTTAACAGAGCAACGAACTGACTTCATATTGTCCTGTCCGACAATCCTGCGGAATGTCCGTCCCTCCATATATGCCCGGAGATCCCACATTATGAGTTTTGATTTTGCATTTTTTTTTTTTTTTTAGCTCGTATCATCATCAATAAAAATGTTATTTTAAAACTTGAATATCAAAGAAGATATCAACTTCAACTTTATTAGGAGTATTGAACTAATAAATACAAATATTTCGTACATCTTGAATTTTAAATATATTTATATATAAATACTGCAGACTTGTGCTTAGGCAAATGTCATTACCACATGCTGAAAATGTAATCAAGGTGCATCTGAGAGAACAGTTATATTTATATAGCTCTCATAGCAAATTCCCAAGCGCAGCAACACTAGCTTTTAGTGCGTAGTAAGCCGACCTTGTGTGTATGTGTGCGTATGTCTGTGTATATTTTCTATATGTGTAGAATTGAGGCGTATAATGGAATAGCAGCTCCTAAAAAGCTCCGGATGTATCCTACACCAATTCTCTACTTTATGTCTATATAAAGTATCACATCTGTAGCTTCTATACCTTGATCTTCGGAGTTGGAGTTGGAGTTGGATTGGATGTTCAATTGATGCTTGCATTAAACCATTTTTATTAAATAAAATATATAAATTCAACTTCTAGGAAGTAAGAACAGCTCTTGTGTGATGAAAATTAGCTAATTTAGTGGCTAATTGGAACATTGGGCAAATGGGCGCCCTCTGGCTGGAAGCCGTTCTCATCGGCCACATAGTTCACAGTGTAGACCTGGCCATCCTCAGCGGTAAAGGAGTAAGAGCCACGGACAGAGATCGCTTCGTTCTCGCTGCCAGCATTGTTCAGGACACCCTCTTCATCGTGCTTCTGGCCGTCGCTGGTCTCCCAGCTGTTGAGGGATAGCAACAAATGTGATTAGAGAAAGGCTTGCGTTGGTGCAATTCGGTTCGTAATTTACCCAAACTTGTAGCCACCGGGCTGGACATCGGACTCCAGACGCAAAATCTTTGCATCCTGACTATTGTCGAGTGGAGCAGCCAGGACAACGGCCAGGAGGGCGGCGAAGACAATAGCGATTGTATATTTCATATTGATTGGCTTCGAATTGCGAACGCGAGCTACGGACTGTGAACAGTTGTTGATTTGTGATGTCTACAACGGCTGTCCAGGGGCCTTTTATACCCAAAATGGCTAATACTGAGTGTCCACCAAATAAATGACTACAATACGATATAAATGAAGAAAAGTTTGTCCAAAATCCGATGAAAAAAATAAATAAAAATGACTAATTACACAGCTCAAGCGCATCAGCTAACAAATTGGCTTGAAAAAACTTACCAACAGGTCTCTCTAGTCTGCGTGTGAAACGCAAAAAAAAAAAAAAAACAAAACAAAACAAAAATCAACGCCAACAACAACAACAACAATAGCAATAATCGATAATAACAAAAACTTCTAAGGCAAACAAAACAAAGATGTTCATAGGAAATATCACAGACATCATTATGATATGCCACGTTTATCATAATCAACTCGATAATCATGATCAACATTGCGACGAATTTGCATTTTTCGTGAATCAATCAAAAAGCTTCAATTTCATTTTCGACATATCTCAGATAGACATCCCCACACAGCCAAAGCTTATTTACCCTACAGCATCAAAGCTCAATGAAAACAAGTCCAAATTATCATCGAAATATTCATACATATACATATTTTGTATATACACTTATTTGCATATACTTATGTACATATATATATATAAACAAATTAATCTTTTTTCAATAACTCTTGGCTGCACCGGAAATAGTAGGAAACACATTTTACACCCAAACTAATTTGTAATTGAAATCTGTGTCAAAGCCAATCAAACTGAAATGGAAAATTATATATATTAA